GAACTCTGCTTGGAGAAAATTGTGGCCAGATTGTGTCCACAAGAGGGATTTTGAAGGGTTTGGGGCTGACCCTGATAAGCCTATGTCAGTTGTTAAATCCATTGTGGCACTGGGGACTTCCATGGGGTTGGATGCGAGTTTGGAGGATGTGGAAGAGTTGGTGGAGGGCCACAACGAAGAGCTAACCACTGAGGAGCTGCAAAAGCTTCAGCAGGAACAGCAACAGATGGCAGCTCTGAATCTTGCTGCAGAGGAGGAAGAGAGATGGAGGAAGGTGCCTTCTTCAGAAATTAAGGAGATTTTTGAAATGTGGGGTAGGATGGAAAGATTTATGGAGAAACATCACCCAGAGAAGGATGTTGCAAGCCATATCGGCAACTTGTACAGCGACAGTCTTGGCCCATTTTAGGGAAGTTTTAAAGAGACGCCAAAAACTGAGCTCTCTGGACAGTTTTTTTGCGAGACAGGACTCCAGTGACTCCCAAGGTGGTCCTAGTGGCATTAAGAAACAGAAGAGAAGTAACTCCAGAAAACCAATTGGTACCCGAGGTGTTGATGGAAGGGGATTCCCCTTCCAAACAGTAATTCATCCAATCAGTCTCATTCTCCAGTCTTCCATACACAAAGAAGAATCACCAATAAAGGTAAGTGTTATTCTGTTAATGTTTAATTCATCATGTGCCACTGTATTGTTTATGTACTACATCTATATTTCATGTAAAAAAATTTTTTGTTTTAATACTTCTGGGTGTCAGGAACGGATTAATTGAATTTACATTATTTCTTATGGGGAAAATTGATTCGTAAATCGTCCATTTCGATAATATAGCCCCACTTCCAGGAACGGATTATGGACGATTATTGAGGGACCACTGTATTTCGCTAGAACTCGAAAATTTTCTATTGAATGAGTACAAGAAACTACTCATTTACCGATTTCAACTATCCAATACAAAGGTCAGAATTTAGCAATTTTGCCAATTTTACACAAATTTCAAAAGATGCCAATTTCCGAATGGGTCCAGAATAAACAAGACATTCCTGGCACTAAAATAACGTCTCCTCTGTTCATTAGTCTCGTCCCCATGCCCCTCTTACATTGTTTCACTTTCCACTTTGAATTTTCATTCTCACAAAAAAATTCAAGATTTACTGTTATGCAGACTACTGCATTGGTGTAGAAATGGTAAAAATATTATCACCGCATTTGTGAAAGAATATTAGGCTCACCAGTTGACGTGTATTGGACGCATAGCACGATTTGTTTACTTTTGAACTTTGGTAAAAATCAAACATTTCTGCTGCTTTGAGTGCAATTTCAAGGTAGTTTTCTTTGTAAAACCAGTCAAAATCATCTCAATTTCTGTAATATGTCTTCCATTCTATAAAACGAGACCAGGAAAACTAGAATACAACAATAAATACCATACGAAAACACAGTGCAAAGTCGCTGTTTTAACCCTTTGACTGTTTACGCCGTATAAATATGTCTTACGAGCCAATGTTTCTGACATTTATACGCACAAATTCTAGCGGCTTCAAATCAAGCGGGAAAGGCCTGGTAGGCCTACATGAGAGAGAATGGGTCTCAATGGTCGGTGTGCACCCTGTGAAAAAAATCTGGGACCCAGCAGTGCATTGTGGGAACGCCATCTTGTTAGTCCATTTTCACCATGCCTCTCGGTAAGAAGTTCCTCACTCCTCGGCGGATTGGAGGTCTTTTGTTCCCAAGTGATAGCTCTAACAGCGATGAAAATGTCAGTGACAGTGAATTCCAGGGTTTTGAAGCGAGTGTTACCGGAAAAAGTGCCCAGGATAACTTAATTAGTGATGAAAACCCAGATGACCCACAACCTTCCACCTCTGGTGCTGGGCCGGCTTGTTCACGTTCGCCTGTACCAGGACGAAAGAGGGAAACTATTTGGTCGTGTACAACACCCAGATGTTAGCAGTGAATGTGATAGTGATAGTGATTTCAAGGTCATTGAAAGCAGTTCTAGTGACAGTGAGGGTGAATATTCCCCAGTGAAGCGGCAGTATGTACGACGTAGCATGCGGTCTGGTAGTGTTTCATATGTTGTTTCAAGGGGAAGGAGAAACTCTGGGAGAACATCCCGTGGCCCTACACCACGACCTGATAGTGAAGATGACGATATTGTTATGATAGGTATGAATGATGTGAGTGAGGGAGCAGGCAGTGGTGGTGATAGTGAGGGTGGCACGGCCTATGTGGCACCATCAGCGGGCCAAGCTACTACCCACGCTGCTGACTCTGCACAACAACCAGCCTCACCCGACCCCCCACAACCTGCACAACCACGGTACAATATCCAGAACCCACCAGCAGACCGCATCTGGGATTGGCAGGACGGTGACGAGTTTGTTCCCAGTCCCCATGACTTTGATGAAACACAAAGTGGAGTCAAGCCATCATGTCCAGTTGGGAACAATGCTAGTGAACTGGACTGCTTTGAGTTATTCTTCAATGAACCCCTGATGGACATCATTGTCAGGGAAACCAACACATACTATGAATACACCATGGCAAATACAATTCTCTCACCAAAATCACAGCTACACAAGTGGAAGGAGACAACTGTGGCAGAGATGTACCTGTTTTTTTGCCACAATAATGCTTGTGTCACATGTGTATAAGCACACTGTCACCACATACTGGGCAACAGAACGCCTGATTTCAACTCCAGGTTTTAGTGACATTATAGGTGTCAATCGTTTTTTGATACTGTTACGTATGTTACACTTTTCAGACAAAACCAGGCCTGACAGAAGCGACAGGTTATACAAGATCAGAAATGTGTTTATGTACCTGAAACAAAAGTGCTGCATGTATTTTTATCCCTTCAGGAAGCTTGTTATTGATGAGTCCTTGATTTTATTCAAAGGAAGACTCATTCAAGCAATATATATCAAGCAAGAGGAAATGCTTTGGTATAAAGCTATTTGTACTGTGTGATTGCAGAAGTGGTCTAGTTTTGGATATCATTGTGTACACTGGCAGTAATACTTTGAGAGATACCATGAAGTTATTGGGTATCTCTGGTGATGTGGTTCGAACAATGATGGAACCATATCTTGGTAAGGGGCATATGTTATTTACTGATAACTGGTACACAAGCCCCTTACTCAGTGATTTCTTGCGAGTGAACTTGACAGACGTGTGTGGCACAGTGCGTGGTAATCATAAACATATGCCAAGGTTCGACGCTGGCACTCGCAGAGGTGAGGTGCAAGCCTTTGCTGCCAATGACATCACGGCATTTTGGTGGCATGACAAACGTGATGTCACATTGTTGACATCAGTTCACCGAAACGAAATGGCACACAGTGGCAGGCACAACACACACCAATGAACCCATTCTAAAGCCTGCAGCTGTCATGGACTACAACCTCAATATGCGCTTAGTGGACAAATGTGACATGCAGATTGGGTTTCCAGATTGTACGCAAGAGTTATAAGTGGTATATAAAACTTTTTCCATCTTGTTGATCTCTCTATGCTAAATACTTATAACATATACAAGCTGAAGACCAACAAAATACCAAAATATGGTGAATTTTGTTTGTCAGAAATCAGACAAATAATTGCAAAGTACCAAGGAGCAACACCTGCAATAGACCAGCGCCCACGAAATTACCAACACGTCATCTCGTTTCAGGCCTGGTGATCACTACCCCATACAACTGCCTCCTACTACTGCCAAGAAAAATGCTCAGAAGAGGTGTTATGTATGTACACATACCACAAAACGCCCACAAACATGCAGAGACACTTTTTATGTGTGAGGAGTGTGAAGTGCCCCTCTGCATATACCCATGTTTTAAAGAGTTCCACAAGCTGCAGCAGTTCTAGGAACGTGTTTAGTGACTGTACATATGTATATATATTATGGAACAATAGTAATAAACATTGTTTTGTATTGTTTGTTTGTGTAAACAAAGTGTATACACAAACTAATAGTGATAAAGTTTGTTCTGTTATTGTGTTGTAAATAATGAGTGTATATTTGAACAATGTACCTTACATTGGTCTCACAGGCCACATAAGTTACTTGGAAAAGAAAAATATTGAAAAATGCAAGAAACCTTTGAATTAGAGTAAATAAAAATACCGGGTGGGCGGCAGTTGCCGCTGTTGCTGTACGCACGTCACTTTCTGCAAACTTTGCGGCTCTATATCTTGGCAAGTACTGATGGTAAAAATTTTTTTTAGGCTTAAAACATTCATGAAAATGTTAGGAATATTTTTCTAAGAAAAAATAACTTTTTTTCGAATATTTAGCGACATAGAATGACAGTTTCAGAAAGGGGCCTGCGACAGTCAAAGGGTTAATCCAAAAACACGGTCAAAGTTTTTTTTTTCTCATTACGCACTGTGTGCTGCAGGATTTTTTTTATACTGCGCACACTGACCACAGACCCATTCTTTCGTATGTAGGCCTACCAGCTTTCTCTCACTAGATTTGAGGGCACTAGAATTTAGGCGTACTAGTACACCAAAACCCTGGTGCCTAAGCCGTACTAGTAAGGCCGAAACTCTGAAAGGGTTAATTACTACGTATTATATATAAATAAATTCATGCTATGGAGATCCTACTCTTTAGCCACTTATCCACAACTGTATTGCTAAATCATTGCATTCCAAAACAAAGACAAAGAAGCATGGCAGTCAGTCTACATGCCCATGTTATTTAATCCTACTCTCAACCACTCAAAAACACAATCTCTTAAAAGAGACCTTAGCAAAGTCCTTGCATCAGGTCCCTGATCAAGCAGACTGTGATGCATGTTAGTTTACATGTGGCTGACAACAGTAACCTGTCTGATCTGGCCAGCAACCAAGAAGCCTGTTCTGGGAGCAAGCACAAGGGCAGTGGCTCCTGACACTGACTAGAGAACCTACAGGTAACACCTGCACTACAATTTGATTAGATCTCTACATATGTGCCTCCTGCCAAAACAAAGGAACGATGTTTTCTTACCTTTGGCTTCAGTTCTTCCCATTTTTTAGGTATAATGCTGTTTATATCTTTATATGAAACGCTCAAAATTTCAATGACAATTCGACATTTAAGTCTCTTGTCTAGATTTAGTTCTTGTAATTTCTTTAGAGCCTCTTCACTAGAGTTTACAGGGAAATTCCAAAATTTGGAAAATCCAGTTATGTAAATAACAGGGAGTTTGTCCTCAGATGGCAGGGATGAATCTCCTGTAATTAGAGAGATGAGGCCACCCATATCTGAAAATAAAAACCATTAAAGTATTTTAAAACTGATACTGCTCTTTCAAATAATACACCTACCATCCGACTTACGACCTGCTCGACATACGTCCACTCTACTTACGACCATGCATCTGGCAGCTAGGCTAGGCCGGCTGATGCACATTACTGTACAATATTTGACAATACTCGCGGCGGCAATGTGTCATGCAGGCAGCATCAGTTTGAGCAATCCTGCCCGATCAGCAGCATCATACTGTATTAACTGGACAGTAAATTTCACCACGGCCCGTAAGATGAAGTCTGAATCTTGCACTGGAGATTGTGGCAAGAAAGGCTCTTACTCTCCAACTCTATTTGTTTTCACTGTTGCACATAAACCTATCTGTCTGCCTGTATATCTGTCTGTCTGTATCACTGTGTCTACCTGTGTGTCTTTCTGTCTGCTTGTCTTAGAGCCACTCATTAAGAGTGTAATTGGTCTTGAAGATCCATATTAATGAGCATGTTTGATACGAGTGAATGGAGACAAATGTTTTTTTTAATACTTGACGTGCTGTTGGAGTGTAAGCAAAGTAACATTTATGAAGGGGGTTCAGGGAAACCGGCAGGCCGGACTTGAGTCCTGGAGATGGGAAGTACAGTGCCTGCACTCTGAAGGAGGGGTGTTAATGTTGCAGTTTAAAAACTGTAGTGTAAAGCACCCTTCTGGCAAGACAGTGATGGAGTGAATGATGGTGCAAGTTTTTCTTTTACGGGCCACCCTGCCTTGGTGGGAATCGGCCAGTGTGATAATAAAAAAAAATAAAAAAAAATAATAATAATAATAATAATAGGGGTCGTCCTCGAAAGGGTTGGAGAGAGGGGGTAAAGGAGGTTTTGTGGGCAAGGGGCTTGGACTTACAGCAAGCGTGCGTGAGCGTGTTAGATAGGAGTGAATGGAGACGAATGGTACTTGGGACCTGACGATCTGTTGGAGTGTGAGCAGGGTAATATTTAGTGAAGGGATTCGGGGGGAAACCGGTTTTATTTTCATTTTAGTCGGACTTGAGTCCTGGAAATGGGAAGTACAGTGCCTGCACTTTAAAGGAGGGGTTTGGGATATTGGCAGTTTGGAGGGATATGTTGTGCATCTTTATATGTGTATGCTTCTAAACTGTTGTATTCTGAGCACCTCTGCAAAAACAGTGATAATGTGTGAGTGTGGTGAAAGTGTTGAATGATGAAAGTATTTTCTTTTTGGGGATTTTCTTTCTTTTTTGGGTCACCCTGCCTTGGTGGGAGACGGCCGACTTGTTGGAGAGAGAGAAAAAAAAAAAAAAAAAAAAAAAAAAAAAAAAAAAAAAAAAAAAAAAAAAACAATAATAATCACTGAGGCGCATTAAATGTGCATAAAACATTAAATATAGACACTTTGCTTAATCCATCTGATTTTTTTTTTCAAAATTATATAATAAACATGCTACATAACATATAAACATATAAATTAACAAATATGATATGTTTTTCTGGTCAGCTTGACAGAGTAAACAGAAACCATTCATGTCCAGGCTGGTAACAACAATAACGTTTGCCTACATAACCCTTGAACATTCTACACTCTTTTATTCATTTAATCTTGTTCACTCACCTCTCACTCTACATTAAGACTACAGATATTTTAAGGTAAGTAATGAGTGGACACGATTATTATATTATAGCTTAATAATATTATTAGTACATATGTATTATTGTAATAATAATAATTCATTTTATTATTATTATCACACTAGCCGATTCCCACCAAGGCAGGGTGGCCCGAAAAAGAAAAACTTTCATCAACATTCACTCCATCACTGTCTTGCCAGAAGGGTGCTTTACACTACAGTTTTTAAACTGCAACATTAACACCCCTCCTTCAGAGTGCAGGCACTGTACTTCCCATCTCCAGGACTCAAGTCCGGCCTGCCCGTTTCCCTGAATCCCTTCATAAATGTTACTTTGCTCACACCCTCCAACAGCACGTCAAGTATTAAAAACCATTTTGTCTCCATTCACTCCTATCAAAAAACCTCACGCATGCCCGCTGGAAGTCCCAAGCCCCTCGCACACAAAACCTCCTTTACCCCCCCCCCTCCAACCTTTCCCAGGCCAACCCCTACCCCCACCTCCTTCCACTACAGACTGACACACTCTTGAAGTCACTGTTTCGCTCCATTCTCTCTACATGTCCAAACCTCCTCAGCCCTCTGGACAACAGTTTTGGTAATCCCGCACCCCCTCCTAACTTCCAAACTACAAATTCTCTGCATTATATTCACACTACACATTGCCCTCAGACATGACATCTCCACTGGCCTCCAGGGCCCTTCTCCTCGCTGCAACATTCATCACCCATGCTTCACACCCATATAAGAGCATTGGTAAAACTTACTCTCATTTCATTCCCCCTCTTTGCCTCCAAGGAACAAAGTTCTTTGTCTCCACAGACTCCTACGTGCAAACCCCTCACCCTTTTCCCCTCATCAATTCTATGATTCACCTCATCTTTCATAGACCCCTCCGCTGACACGTCCCACTCCCAAATATCGGAATACATTCACCTCCTCCATACTTCCCTCCAATCTGATATTCAATCTTTCACACCAATCTTTTTATCCTCATAACCTTACTCCTTTCCTGTATTCACCTTTTAATTTTTTTTCTTTTGCACACCCTACCAAATTATCCACCAATCTCTGCAGCTCTCTTCAGAATCTCCCAAGAGCACAGTGTCATCAGCAAAGGGCAACTGTGACAACCCCACTTTGTGTTATTCTTTAAACTTTTAACCCACACCCCTTGCCAAGACCTCGCATTTACTTCTCTTACAACCCCCTCTTTTAAAAAATTAAACAACCACGGTGACATCACACATCCTTGTCTAAGGCCTACTTTTACTTGGAAATAATTTCCCTCTTTCCTACATACTCTAACTTGAGCCTCCACTATCCTCGTAAAACTCTTCCTGCTTTCAGTAACCTACCTCCTACACCATACACCTGCAACATCTGCCACATTGCCCCCCTATCCACCCTGTCATACGCCTTTTCCAAATCCATAAATGCCACAAAGACCTCTTTAGCCTTATCTAAATACTGTTCACTTATGTTTCACTGTAAACACCTGGTCCACACACCCCCTACCTTTCCTAAAGCCTCCTTGTTCATCTGCTATCCTATTCTCAAGTCTTACTCTTAATTCTTTCAATAATAACTACCATACACTTTACCAGGTATACTCAACACTTATTCCCCTATAATTTTTGCACTCTTTTATCCCTTTTGCCTTTATGCAAAGGAACTATGCATGCTCTCTGCCAGTCCCTAGGTACCTTACCCTCTTCCATACATTAAATAATTGCACCAACCACTCCAAAACTATATCCCCACCTGCTTTTAACATTTCTATCTTCATCCCATCAATCCCGGCTGCCTTACCCCCTTTCATTTTACCTACTGCCTCACGAACTTCCCCCACACTCACAAAATGGGGTCTTCCTCACTCCTACAAGATGTTTTTCCTCCTTGCCCTATACACAAAATCACAGCTTCCCTATCTTCATCAACATTTAACAATTCCTCAAAATATTCCCCCATCTTCCAATACCTCCAACTCTCCATTTTAAAAACTCTCCTCTCCTATTTTTAACTGACAAATCCATTTGTTATCTAGGCTTCCTTAACTTGTTGATCTCACTCCAAAACTTTCTTATTTTCAACAAAATTTGTTGATAACTTCTCACCCACTCTCTCATTTGCTCTCTTTACATTGCTTCACCACTCTCTTAACCTCTTCTTTCTCCATATTTCTTTTCCCTCCTTGCATCACTTCACTTTGTAAAAACTTCTCATATGCTAACTTTTTCTCCCTTACTACTCTTTACATCATCATTCCACCAATCACTCCTCTTCCCTCCCGCACCCACTTTCCTGTAACCACCAACTTCTGCTGAACACTAAACACTACATTTTTAAACCTACCCCATACCTCTTCGACCCCATTGCCTATGCTCTCATTAGCCCATCTATCCTCCAATAGCTGTTTATATCTTACCCTAACTGCCTCCTCTTTTAGTTTATAAACCTTCACCTCTCTTCCCTGATGCTTCTATTCTCCTTTTATCCCATCTACCTTTTACTCTCAGTGTAGCTACAACTAGAAAGTGATCTGATATATCTGTGGCCCCTCTATAAACATGTACATCCTGAAGTCTACTCAACAGTCTTATCTACCAATACATAATCCAACAAACTACTGTCATTTCACCCTACATCATATCTTGTATACTTATTTATCCTCTTTTTCTTAAAATATGTATTACCTATAACTAAACCCCTTTCTATACAAAGTTCAATCAAAGGGCTCCCATTATCATTTACACCTGGCACCCCAAACTTACCTACCACACCCTCTCCAAAAGTTTCTCCTACTTTAGCATTCAGGTCCCCTACCACAATTACTCTCTCACTTGGTTCAAAGGCTCCTATACATTCACTTAACATCTCTCAATCTCTTCTCCAGGTGCATACACACTTATTATGACCCACTTTTCGCATCCAACCTTTACTTTAATCCACATAATTCTTGAATTTACACATTCATATTCTCTTTTCTCCTTCCACTGATCCTTCAACATTACTGCTACCCCTTCCTTTGCTCTAACTCTCTCAGATACTCCAGATTTAATCCCATTTATTTCCCCCCACCAAAACTCCCCTACCCCCATCAGCTATGTTTTGCTTAGGGCCAGGACACCCAACTTCTTTTCATTCATAACATCAGCAATCATCTGTTTCTTGTCATCCGCACTACATCCACGCACATTCAAGCATCCCAGTTTTATAAAGTTTTTCTTCTTCTCTTTTTTAGTAAATGTCTACAGGAGAAGGGGTTACTAGCCCATTGCTCCCGGCATTTTAGTTGCCTCATACGACACGCATGGTTTACGGAGGAAAGATTCTTTTCCACTTACCCATGGACAATAGAAGAAATAAAGA